CGCAGTCATCGATCTGGTCTATGGTCTCTGATGCTCTGGGTTCTCCTAGAGTAGGATGAGCTGAAGGTGCTCCAAGCCCTCGGAGCTCTGCACCTGGCCTTGTGGGGAAGACGGACCAGACCCGCTAGCGGGGGATGAGGGGGAGGTGGGTGGGAGGGTCATAAAGGATCGAGCTGAGGGGCAAGGGAGTGAGGTGGAGTGGGGGGAGGGCTCTGCGATCGAGAGAGCTGAGGAGAAAGGGGGAGCCTCGATACACAATGGGATGGAAGGAGTCTCTATCTCCTCCACTAATAGATCATCATCATCAAAAGGGGAGCTGGTCGATGCTCCCAGATGGTCGGAGGGAATGTGAAGCTCCTCCTCTAACTCCGAGTCAAGCACGGAGAAGCGGGAATGGGTAGCTATGGGAGCTTTCTGGAGGGACTGGTGGGGGAAGTTCATGTTCATGTTTGGAACTTCAAGACTTGAGTTTTCCAGCAAATTTCTGACTATATTATTTTTATCAAGGTTTCGAGCTTTTCACATTTATTCCATTCGGGCATGCAATAGGGATGTAAGTACCTAGTTTAGGATACTATTTCACAGTTGTTCTATTTTTACTTACTACGTGGTTTGAGGTTAATATAGCATCTTGGTCGGAATTATGTTAAAGTGTTTATTTTTTGTTTTGTTTTGTTTTTATAGTGTGATTAGTTGGTTATATGTTGAATTCTTTCAAGGTAAAAATTGAGACTTTGTTAAAAAGTCGGTTATTTCATAATTAGATGTTCGACTTTAGCTTCTAGTTATATTAGATGTAGCTCGTTTCTCTTGTTTTCGTCTTTTTCAAGTTTTGAAGACTACGGGTTTGATAAAGCTTCAATCTTTAGTTGAAGTTTGCATCTTTAGGTAATTGCTTTCAATTACTTAGGTTAGATTAATTTAAATTCAATCCTTGAATCTTGTTAGCATGTTTAGAACTTTAATTTCTTCTTTTTTGTGTTTGACGATAAATTAGTGAACGAAGCTCCGAATAGTCTTCCTCGAAAAACACTGCCCGGTCGGATTTTTTCCGTATTCGGCTAAAAAACTACTAAACACTAATGTCAATGGAAAATGTTATTTGTACAATAAAGTTTGTATAATGGTTAGTACAATCAAGAGTCGGATTACAAATTCACCCTTAAAATATCATTACAATTCTTTTATTGTGTACAATAGAGTTTATATATGTTGTCTAAATATTGATACATATTTGTATTTTGTGTTATTTGTTGCATAGAAGTTACTTAAAATTAATATACAAAATATGACAGTGTAATTCCTACAATTTAAGAATAACTTGACTAAAAAACTCATTTTCCGCTGAAGAAAAAACTCCCTCCGCTATTTCCTTTCTTCTCTCCGCGCGACTCCCGTCGATAATCCGTCGCCTTCCCCAGTAGAGCGCGGCGAGTACACGGTGGTGGCTCTCCGGAGCCTCGCAGCCCGTTTCCGAGAGTAGTGCCGCACGGGGGAGGGGAAGCTTTTTCTCCGGGGAGATGTCGGCCTGCTTTCCGGTTGCCGCCTCTGGTGCCAGGAGTGAGTTGCGGGTGGATAGATCTCGTCCGGTATCTCCATTTCGATGGCCCGCTGTCACTTTCTTGGAGGGGCTGCGACGCCAATTTCCGACTTAGGGTTTGGGGTGGAGAAGGGGATCCGACCAATTTCGTCTTCCTCGGTCTGTTTCAGTGGTCGCCGGTGATTGCAGGTTTGATTTGGAGGTCTAATTGGTTTGTTGGCTTGACGGGCTGAGCTGCTCTGCTCGAGCCTTGGGGTAGGCGGCAATAACAGGGTTGGGGCTGAGATTTGGAGGTGGGTCGTCGGCGATCGTTGAGTCGGGATTGTGTTTCGGAGGTGCGGTTGTCGGCGATTGTTGAGCTGAGCGACTTTGCTTATGATTTGGAGTCGTCGGTAATCGTTGGGCTATGGTTGACTGATTGACTGGGTACTTTTTCTCCGGGTGGCAGTGGGGTTGTTCGTCTGGACAAGGGTTGGGCCATCCCGTGGGTTTTCGATTCAGTTAGGCCTTTTCTTGCAGTTTCTGGGTCGGGATCTTGGGCCGCAACTCTGCCATTATTGTGTTCGGTGTGACTTTCAGCTGTGGGAAGGGCTCTCGTTGTTGTTTTGTCTTGTCTAGTTTTGTTTTGTTTAGTGCGTGTTGTTATGTGTTGTCTAGTTTCGTTTTGTTCGTTTTGTGTTTTTTGGTTTGGGCCGTTGGCCTCTGTGGCCCGAGTGTCACTATGTGCGCCCGAGTGTCACCTTATTACCCTGTTGGGGTCCGACACTCGGATATTACCCTGTTGGGGTCCGATACTCGGGTATTACCCTGTTGGGGTCTTGTAGTTGTTTTAGTTGATTGTGTTGTTGGTTGTTTAGTTGCGTCTGTTTTTTATTCTAGCGTTGCTAGCCGGGATTCTAGGCGGTCTGCTGACCTGTCCTCCGTCTTTTTTCAGCTGTTGGCTGATGTGTATTCAGCCGTTGGCTGCTGTGTATTCGCACATTTGTGCTTTTTGATTTATAATACTTCTATCGTTTCGAAAAAAAAAAAAATTAAGAATAAGATATAATATTTTGATAATTTTAAACGCAGTAACTAAGTTGCATTAAAATGCTCACTATATATAATTCCCGAATGCGCTGAGCCTACGTGGCTCTTCTGGTGCTTTGGAATCCTACTTGGCGAAGAATCATGCTTCGTAATTAGGTTTGGACAAATAATATTGATATATTAATAATTAATAATCTAGGTTCGGACATTCCATAAATATTATTTCTCTAACTTATGTATTTTAATATTATTTGTACTAATATAACCCTTTAGTTCTTTGTAATTTTATATAGTGAGGCACTAAGTGACTAATATATCTCTGACTTTGATTTGATTCCTTCAATTAGCTATTGAATTGTAAATGTGTTTTAAAAGTTGATAACTTTTTTATTTCTTATCGGTTTTACATATATTATATATCAAATTAATCATCTTTTGATGATCTTCGATTTGACATCCATATTGTATATATGAAACAAATAAATTATATTTATCTTTATAATAATAAAAAATAATAATATTTATTAAAATTCATTAGAAAAATAAAATTATTTATCAATTGATATGTTTATGTTTAATGTAGTTATATGTTGTAAGTTAAAAAATTATTACTCCCTCCTATTTTTTTTAAATGTCATTCTAGCTTAATCAACTATTTGTCAAATAAATGTCGTTTTGGATCTTTTCTACATATTTTTCCATTATTACCCTCATTTAACTAATAAATACATTACGTCTTTTCATATTCACTCTTCACTTTTTTCTCAAAACATTCATCTCTATCTTCATTAAATAAGGTTATTATTGACAAAAAAAATATGCTTAATCAACGTGCAACTTCTCAATACGACATATATTAAAAATAGGAGGTAGTATAATATAACACAGGTAAGTCGCACAAATAAAAAGTGTCATACTAAATATATAATAATATATATATTTTTGTAAAAGGTATATAAATTTTCAACTACTTTTTCTCATTAATTTTATATTTTAAAAAAAAATTAGCAAGCACCCATATAATACACGGGGTACTAGTACTTCATTATAGACAAATTCCATTTGACTTTACACAACTTGTATATATAAAGGTTAAGAGTTTACTAATAAAACTTAAAAGCAGGTGATAAAATTTATTGTAATATTATCAGAACTTTTTTTTATAAAAAAGCATTAAGTATATGTTAAAAAAGATATGTTACCATTATTTTCTAATAATACGTTAATTTGTTTTTTCATAAAATATAATATAAACATATTCAATATACAATTCTTTCATAAGTGTTGAATTTTTGTTGCAAATTACAGTTTTAAATTTTGATTTTTTTATTGCAAATTACAACTTTAATTGGTTTTCTTTACATATAATAGGGTAACTTAATAAAAAATATGTATAGAAAATTTTGCTTTTAATATGTGATAAAAAAAATGTACCTATCTTTTCTTATGCTAAAAATAAGTGGGAAAAAATGTCTATTATCACTTAATTTAGTACCAAATTTTGTATTACTATGACGACTTTATGTAAATATATTTGTTAGTTATGAATTGTCAAAATCAAGTTAATAAATAAAATAATTACTAAATATTCTTTCTAAAAAATATTAGACTAGATTGAGTTTTTTTAATTTATATTACTTTATGGCATTTGGAAGGATATATTAAAAAAGTTATCATGTTATACTAATTTCAAGGATATGTACAAGGATGCGATGACGTGTGTCCGAACATGTGGGGCGATACCAGCGACTTTTCAATTAAAATAGGACTACACCAGGGGTCAACATTGAGCCCTTATTTATTTGACTTGGTGACGGATGAGGCCACAAGGGACATACAAGGTGATATCCCTTGGTGTATGCTCTTTTCTGATAATGTGGTGCTAGTTGACGAGAGTAGGGCAGGGATAAATAGGAAGTTAGAGCTGTGGAAGGACACGTTAGAGTCGAAAGGCTTCAGACTTAGTAGGA